CTCCAGTTTATCACGATGAAGATGGAATTGCCAATGTACTTGCTATGCGCGAGATGATTGCTGTGGGATACCGCATTACTATGGATACTGATGCTGACAATGCTTTTATTGTGCATTGTGATGGAAACCAAAGATGCAATTTGTGAATGGTAAGGGTGTGTATGTGTTGGAGCAACTTGGAGCGAATGTCGAACCAGGTGCCCAAGAGACAAGTGCGATGTACCGTCGCCAGTTAAGCAACTTAAATATTCAACCCCATTTTGAACTTTCTTCAAACAAACAGAATGGATATGCTAGACTCAAGATGACCTCCAAGATGGAAACCGTTTGAAAGAACAAAGAAGGATTCACTCCAAGACAAGTCAAGGCTGCGATGGAAGCAAGAAGTGCGATGCACATACTCAATGCTCCAAGCACCAAAAGTCTGAAGTATGCGATCCGATCTGGTCTCATCAAGAACTGTCCTATCACTGAAGAAGCAATCAATCATGCCAAAGCAATCTTTGAACCTGACGCCTCTACATTGCTACAACTTCTTCAGTCCACCAGAGGAATTATATCAGCACAATCGATCTATTACTGTCTGTATTGATCATATGGAGATCGAGAATGCTAAGTTTCTCACCTGCATTGATACCACTGTGCGTTACTATTCTTGTCTCAAGAGTTCGAGAACCTACAGAGTCTGATTGGAAGAAGTGTGTATCACCTGACACTTTCCGCAGAATCACTACGAGTCATGAAATGGATGATCCACACATCATTTGCGGTGCATCCAGATTTCAAGAGCCATACTGGCGGCACTCTGTCCTTTGGAGGAGGTGCAGCTCAAGTGATGTCGAAGAAACAAAAACTAAACAGTAGAAGCAGTACGGAAGCGGAACTGATTGCTGTTGACAATGTTGTCACGATGATACTATGGACAAAGTTGTTCATGGAGTGGCAAGGGTATCCAATCAAGAAGAATAGCTTGTATCACAATAATAAAAGTGCGATTCTACTGGAAGAGAATGGTCGCAAGAGAGCGGGCAAAAGAAGCCGAGCTATCAATATTTGTTATTTCTTTATCACAGATCAAGTTGAGAAAGGAAATGTTAAGATCAAATACTGTCCAACTGACGATATGCTTGCGGATTTCATGACTAAGCCGTTGCAAGGTGAGAAGTTTTGCAAGTTCAGGGATCTAATTCTTGGTCCACAGGAATAGGTCAGACAAGTATGTATATGTTCAGAAGAAAATACAAAACAAAATAAACAGTGAATGAGAGTATGTCCCATTGCAAGTCAAGATAGATCTGCTTGCAAGGTACAAGGTCCTTGTGGACATAGGGAGAGGAATCCCAACACCAAAAGATCACCAAAAGTTCCAAGTTTAACTTGGAACTTTTAGTGATTGGAAGTAATTTGCCACATGGGTAAACGTACCGTATATAATTACTTGTAGTGCGATTCTTTTAATTAAGATCTCACACTGACGTAGTTGTGCAAAATTGCATTATACGACTCCGATCAGAAACTGAAAACAACTGGCGAAACGAAAATATTGAAATTTGTGCCGTGTTATTTTTACAAGAACACAAAAGACATTGAACGATGGCCGCTGCGAGAATTGCATGGAGAAACTACATTCAAGATGTTCTGGATTTCTCTCAGGATGAGGCACAACCTGCTTTCTTTGCCTGCTCGGACGCGCGACAATATTGATTCCTTGGTGAAACAAATCAATTGCACTGTGATTGATCCAGGAAATGATCCTGACACTACGTTTTCAATCAACCAAGCCCAGAAAATCATGCTCTACGACCTTTGCGACTATTGCCGATATATTTATATGGTTGATCGCCAACATGATCTAGCTTTTAGGACACAAGCGAATTTGGCAAAAATCAAGACGCCTGTAAGACACTTGTCTGCGGAAGTCAAGCGTGTATGCAAAATCTGCGCACCGCTATCAACACTTGTTTGCAGACTGAAGTTACGGCCCAGCAAACTCATCGCTTAACTGCAATCAGCGGCACAAGAGCTTTAGCTGCGGTTGATGGTGGTGGACGAACCTCCAATCGCTGATGTGGCCGTGGTCGTGATCATGATATTGGTGGTCATAATCGTAATCGTAATCAACATGGACGTGGCGGAGGTTGCGGACAAGGTGGTAACCAAGATGATGGTACTGTATGGTCCGATGATGGCACAATCCTCAACAACGGTGGATACTTCCAAGACACTTGGAGCCGTTTCTCTGATTGTGATTGCCGTGTTGTCCTTCAAGCCCGTCAACGTGCTAAGAGTCGTCTTATGAGTGAACGTGACATTGCAAAATTGAACACCTTGTGAACAAAATTGCGACTGCCAACAAAATGAAGAACCCGCACCTACACCAGCTCCAGCACCCTCTTCTGGCAATGTTGATAGCGGAGTTTGACGTGGCTGTCGCTGACATGAGGCCGACTATCAAATTTGTGTTACCTGTTCCCTTTCCTCTTGTGTTCGTGTTTTAATGTCCCTTTCCCACTCCTTGCCCCAATGTGAGCTTGACTCACACGCCGATACTTGTGCTTTTGGCGAAAATTGTTTGGTTCTTGCAACCTATCCCCATACCTTGACAGTTAAAGGCTTTGATCCTTTGCTTTGCAGTGTGCCTAACGTTAAAGTTGCAAAAGTTGCAGTTGCTTATGATTTTCCTTTGTCCCTTGAAACGTATATCTTGATCTTTGATCAAGCATTGTACATCCCAACCATGAAAAGTAATCTCCATTGTGTGGATCAACTTCGAGATTTTGGTATAATTGTGAACGATGTGCCCCTCCAACATCTAAAGCGCGAAAATTGCAATCAATATTTGCATTCACTTATTGATGAAAACTCGGGGTTACATATCCCGATGGACTTCCTGAAGCCTATTAGCTTCTTTGCTTGTCGCAAACCTGCGCTGTCTGAACTTGATGAATATGTTTCGGTGGAAATGACCAGTTCCGTCCCATGGGAACCTTATGATCCTGAATCCTCTCGCATCGAACAAAAATCACGACGTGAATATCAAGGGGACCTAGCCACTCAACGAATCTATTCTGTTGACCGCTCTGATCCCAACTACCGCTCTATTTGCCCACTCACTCTTCCTATCGCTTAGGGGACAGAGTTGAGGCGACCATCAATGGTGTTAAAACTGATGGCAAGAGCTATTTGGTCAAACCTGAACAACTTGCGCGAAGGTGGCGAATCAGCCTTGAATGTGCCCGTCGTACTCTCCAGAAAACAACCCAGCGTGCTTTGCGGGACTGGACTAAAGTTGAAGGCTCAAGACAATTTTGCCCCACTCAATTCCAACTTGAATATCCTAGGTTGCGTGCTGATATTTGGGCCGATAATAAACAAGGCCCCTGTGTTTCTGCTGAAGGAAATAAGTATGTTGCTGTCTATGCTGCTGCCTGTCAATGGGCCTGTTGCTACGCTTTGAAGAAAGAATCTGAAGTGAGCAACTCGCTTAAGGAACCATTTTGTGATATTGGCTTTCCAAGAGTTCTCTGACCTGATGATGCTCAGTCGTTGACTGTTGGAGAATTTCAAAGAGTTGCAAATAAGGCCCAGGTTCCAATACATCCTAGCAAGCCTTACAATCCTGATCAAAACCTTGCTGAAGATTGTATTTGTGAAACAACAAGAATGAAAATGGTATTGACAAATTTGGAGTTGTTCCTGGGAGAAAAAGAAGAGCAGATGGGCTCGATGGTTAGTTCGTATCATGAGAAGCCTTTCTTGGACACTTCTATTTATGAAATCGAATGGCATGATGGTGAAACTGAATCCTATTGTGCAAACGGGGTTATTGAAGCAATGATGATAAATGTTGATGATGACGGTAATAGTATCCTCCATGTGAAAGAATTTATTGATCACAGGATGGATGGCACACGAGTCGATGCTGATGATGGTTTTGTCATGGTAAAGAATAAGAAAGTTCCTCAACGAACTACAAAAGGGTGGTATCTGTGTGCTCAAATTCATGGTGATGAGACAGAATGGATTGATTTGAAAACTGCAAAGGAGGCCTATCCAATTCAGGTGGCCGAATATGCTGTTGCTCACAAACTTGTATCTGAGCCTGCTTTCTCATGGTGGGTTCCTTATATTTTGAAGAAGCGTGATAGAATTCTAAAGGCTGTGAAAAGGAGAGCCTTAACTCGCAATTCTGAGAAATTTGGTTTAGAATTGCCTGGTACTGGTCCAAAAGGTGTGAGACGTGCCTACGTGATTGATGCCAACACTGGTAGCAATCATTGGGGAAATGCTATTGAAAACAAAGTTAAAACTGTGTTGCCTGCCTTTTTAAGAATCTTGGGACCAAATGAACCTGTTCCCCCTGGATATACTTGTATTGACTTGATGACTGTCTTTGATGTTAAGATGGACCTCACATGAAAGGCCCCGATATGTGCTCGAGGGGACCAAACTGATCCTCCTCTTTTGGTAACGTATGCCAGTGTTGTCACTTGTGAGAGTATTTGTATTGGATTCTTGCTTGCTTTGTTAAATGGTTTGGATATTTTGTCTGCTGACATTGCTGGAGCGTATTTGAACGCGCCTTGTGCTGAGAAGATTTACACAGTACTTGGACTCAAGTTCGGAGACCTTGAGGGCCGAACTGCTGTTGTGGAGAAAGCACTCTATGGATTAAAATCTTCTGGGTTCTCATGGAGATCTACGCTTTCTAAGACTCTGAGAGAAGAAATGGAGTTCGAACAGTGTCGTGGTGATATGGATGTTTGGAGAAAACCCGATTTGAAGTCAAACGGCAAAAAATATTACGAATATATATTCGTTTACACCGATGACCTTATGGCTGTTTCTGAAAATCCTCGTGCTATATTGGAGAAGCTTGGAACGCATTACATGCTCAAGCCTGATTCAATTGCAGAGCCTACAACATTCCTTGGTGCAACAATTTCAAAACGTTTTGTTATATTCCAAAAAAACCAAAAAGTAAAAACAACACGCACATCCGGGTTCCAAGACACCACCTCTAGTACTTCTCCTACACGGAGCAGCCGTAGCGACACTGGAAAAGAGGTTGTTTTCAACTGGAAAACCAAGGATCAAGATGAGCAAAAGAAAGACAGGCAAGGTCCCCAAAGCACAAACAGTATCCGAAAATGATTCATATTATGCTCCTGTAAGCCTTGTCCAAAAAGAACGGGGAAAAGTGGCCAAAATCTGCCCATTTGATGCCTCTGCCTTTTTGGGCCTGTTGGACGACGATGACAGCGACGAAATCGCTGATGACGAGGAGGATAACATCAAGATTCACGGTCAGAAAGCAAACTGGGATATCTATTATTTCAGAAGTCATTTTGTCCAAAAAGAACAAGCAAAAATGGTCGAATCTTGCCCATTCTTTGCACCCTTTTTGGGCATTCCTGATGATTCTGGCGGTGCCACCAAATCAGTTTTCGATGATGAGGAAGACAAGGCCATCCGAAAGGTCTCCAGCGCCCGAACACTGTTAGAATAAAGCAAAATGTGCTCTATCGTGAGTGCCTTTAGCGCTCAGAACAAACTCTCTGCAATCTAAATTCGTAAAAACCCGCTTTGAAGTCAAATGGCGAAAATATTACAAATATATTTTTGTTTACACCAATGACCTTATGGCTGTTTCTGAAAATCGTTGTGCTATTTTGGAGAAGCTTGGAACGCATTACATGCTCAAGCCTGATTCAATTGCAGAGCCTACAACGTTCCTTGGTGCAACAATTTCAAAACGTTTTGTTGAAAAGAAACGTGTCTGCTGCCTTACCTTCTGGTTATAAACCTGAGCTTGACAACACTGATTTTGTTGACGCAGAGACACACACACTGTATATGCAACTGATTGGAATATTACGGTGGTTGGTTGACTCTGAGAGAAGAAATGGAGTTCGAACAGTGTCGTGGTGATATGGATGTTTGGAGAAAACCCGCTTTGAAGTCAAATGGCGAAAATATTACAAATATATTTTTGTTTACACCAATGACCTTATGGCTGTTTCTGAAAATCGTTGTGCTATTTTGGAGAAGCTTGGAACGCATTACATGCTCAAGCCTGATTCAATTGCAGAGCCTACAACGTTCCTTGGTGCAACAATTTCAAAACGTTTTGTTGAAAAGAAACGTGTCTGCTGCCTTACCTTCTGGTTATAAACCTGAGCTTGACAACACTGATTTTGTTGACGCAGAGACACACACACTGTATATGCAACTGATTGGAATATTACGGTGGTTGGTTGACTCTGAGAGAAGAAATGGAGTTCGAACAGTGTCGTGGTGATATGGATGTTTGGAGAAAACCCGCTTTGAAGTCAAATGGCGAAAATATTACAAATATATTTTTGTTTACACCAATGACCTTATGGCTGTTTCTGAAAATCGTTGTGCTATTTTGGAGAAGCTTGGAACGCATTACATGCTCAAGCCTGATTCAATTGCAGAGCCTACAACGTTCCTTGGTGCAACAATTTCAAAACGTTTTGTTGAAAAGAAACGTGTCTGCTGCCTTACCTTCTGGTTATAAACCTGAGCTTGACAACACTGATTTTGTTGACGCAGAGACACACACACTGTATATGCAACTGATTGGAATATTACGGTGGTTGGTTGACTCTGAGAGAAGAAATGGAGTTCGAACAGTGTCGTGGTGATATGGATGTTTGGAGAAAACCCGCTTTGAAGTCAAATGGCGAAAATATTACAAATATATTTTTGTTTACACCAATGACCTTATGGCTGTTTCTGAAAATCGTTGTGCTATTTTGGAGAAGCTTGGAACGCATTACATGCTCAAGCCTGATTCAATTGCAGAGCCTACAACGTTCCTTGGTGCAACAATTTCAAAACGTTTTGTTGAAAAGAAACGTGTCTGCTGCCTTACCTTCTGGTTATAAACCTGAGCTTGACAACACTGATTTTGTTGATGCAGAGACACACACACTGTATATGCAACTGATTGGAATATTACGGTGGTTGGTTGAGCTTGGAAGAATGGACGTTTGTGCTGAAGTCTTAATGATGTCTTTGTACAATGCCATGCCTCGTGTTGGACACTTTCATGCGGTATTACACCTATTTGGTTATCTTGAAACACATCCAAGTCGCGAGATTGTCATGGATTCCGCATATATGGCTCTGACCGACATACCACAATCTGAATGGCATGAATTCTATCCATGGGCAAAAGAAGTACTGCCCCCTGATATGCCAGAAGCCCTTGGACGAGCGGTAAAGATTGTGATGTTTGTTGATGCCTCACATGCTTCCATTCTTGTTACACGTCAATCCAGAACAGGTGTTCTTATCCACTTGAATCATGCACTGATCGTTTGGTATTCAAAGAAGCAGAATGCTGTCGAAACAAGTTCCTTTGGAAGTGAATTTGCTGCATTGAAGACTGGTGTTGAATTGGTTGAAGGTCTAGTATACAAATTGCAAATAATGGGCGTACCAATTGATGGCCATTGCGATACTCTTGTTGTTAATCCATCGTATGTTAAATGGAATGTCCATTGATTTCTTGTCTAAGGAGCAGTAAACTGTTGAGACTGCTACTTATGGTTCTGAGTCTGTAGCCACTCAAACCTGTGTCAAACAGATCATGATCCATGCAAACCTTGAGGTACCTTGGTGTGCCAATCAGAGGTCAAAGCTACATCTTCGGTAACAATGAATCTGTCATGAACAGTTCTTCCCGACCTGAAGCTAAGCTATACAAGCAACACGTTAAATTGTCTTTCCACCGTGTGAGAGAAGCTATCTTTTATCCACATTAACAGTGCTCTCAACCCTGCTGATATTCTCACCAAACATTGGGGTCAGCAGCAAATCTGGACACTACTACCAACTCAAATGTTCTGGTCTGGAGATACTGCTGATCAAGAGGACTAGGTCCTCACTTTGTCCCATTTGGGGAGTGACAGAATACAGGACTTGTGACTTGACCTATAGGATTCCCAGGTTGAAGTGTAGCCTGTGTGCCGTATGCCTTGCATATGCGCAAACTGTTACACACCATTAATTTAGTGCAGAAAAGAACTGAGTCAGCAGTTCTCTAATGAATCATAGGATTTGCATGGAAAAGTGATGGATCATTGCTTTTCTCACTGCATGCTTTTTACCTGAATTGATCTCCATCATCTAGTAGAAACTAGTCAACTATAGGCCCATATTTCATTTTCATTTGTTTCTATCAGCCTTTGAAATCTGGATGCACCGCAAACGACTATCATCCATTTCATGACTCGTAGTGATTCTGCAGAAAGTGCCAGGTGATACAAAACAAATATCAAACGCCTCAGTGATGAGGGGCTGTTCAGATGCAGAAAGTTTTGCTCAAGCTGAAGACGCTGTAGGAGGGTTGGTTGCTGACTGAGGTGTAGACTTCAGTGCAGGAGGAGGCAATGAGGGAGGTGTGGGAGAAGTAGCCTGAGGATTCTCCTCAGGGTGCACAGGAGGTTGCTTGGCCCGGCAATTCTTAGAACCCTTGCGACCCAAGCATTTGATAGATGGAGCGGGTAGCTTTGGCTGAGCTGTGGTATCAGAGGCAGTTGCAGGGTTGGTTGGTGTCACCTCTTGAGGAGTAGAAGGAACGGCAGGTGGCAAGGGAGAATCTGGAGTGTCGGCATCTTGTGTGGCGGATTGTTCAGGCTGAGCAGGTGAAGGTTTCTTGACCGCTGGTATGCACTGAATCGCATAGAGGAATTGGAGGAGGGATTTGGGAATGACGACCTTGGTCAGCATGCCTTGGATAGGAAACAGTGGAGCCAGGGAGGTGCAGGTCTGGGAGGTAGTGTCATGGGTGTTGATGAGTTTCCCAATGATGCCATTCCACTACCCCCCTGGTTGCGCGAGGTCACCTAGGTGTCCCTTTGTACTGCCCCCCCCAGTCGTAGACAAAGTGAGTCTGGGCACCAAACAGCATGTGACACTTCTTTGTCTCTAGCCTGAGCCATGCAAAGAGGGCCCGTGCCTCTCTATCCACGTCAGAAGCAGCTACCCAAATGTGCCGCGCTTTTGGACCCTTGGAGGGCATCCATTTTTGGCCTGTCGTACTGGGGTTCTGTGGCCACGCAGGTTCTGGGGCTATAGCTCTCTTGAAGGTGAAGTGACGCATGAGCTCGCGTTCAAGTGCCGCTCTCCCAATCCCCATGGGGTAGTTCAGTAGCCAACCGATTCGGACAGGGTAACTAACTTGCAGCATGCGTGCCAGTGATCTCAAAACATTGACCCAGTAGTCGGGCCATGTCGACCAGTGAAGAATTGTGGGCGACGCAAATGCGGGTGCAAAGAGTCTTGGAGCCGGGATTCTTAGCGTTGTAGCCAAATCGGGCTCTATTATTCCAGGACCAGTCAATGTAGGGCCTGAGCTTCTTGTAGGTGAGCTCCTCCACCTTCTCCTTAGAGGTCAGCCACAACTTTTTGTCCGGTACACCGAGTTTGCTCGCCGGAAGAATGACCAAGTCGCCCTCAGCGTTGTCCATAGCCATAGACAGGACCGAGACCATTTCTTCAGTGAAACACTTTTCAATAGACCCACCCTCAGATGTGTCACCATCCCATTCATAGTTGATTGTAGCGCAGAGGAACTGGGCGTTCGAGCGAGGAAGCCCAGTCAAATTCATCTGTTTCACTTCATGGGCTTTCAGTTCTTCAGAGAGGTACTTGGTCCAAATAGCAGCCTTCTTCTGTGAGATGGCAACATAAGTGAGTTGCTTCTTCACGGACAGAGGAGCTGGAGGTCAAGGAGGGTGGGGGGGGGGGGCTCAGTCTTCGACAAGTGAGAGTCGATCAATACTGTTGCCGAGGGGTTGTTGGCCCGCTGAGCTGGGGCAGGTGACTTCCCCACAACCACTTCAGTAGGAGGTTGGTCCAAATTCGATGGTGCAGAAACGTCCGGAGCCTACTCAACGGAATCTGACCCATCGTTGTCAAACCAATAAGCAAACTCGCCGACTGGTTTATTGGTGGGGCTATTGACCGATGGACCCGTGGTGTCCAGCATTATCGCATCTTCCATATCGGGGGCAACAGAGTCGCGAACTGGCTTTGGGGTAGCTTCCGGAAAGAACCCTCGCGAAGGAGAGCAAGGGTCAATGGGAGCGGTTTTCCTTTCAGTTGATGGGTCTAGATCACAATTGCGTTTTCGACCCTTGGCTGCTGAGCGACGCGCAGCCAATTCTGTTACCACCGTCGTTGTTTCAGGGTCGGTCCACGGGTGCCCAAGGAGTTTGACCGAAATGGCCCATACTTTGGCCAGAGGGTGTAGGTCCAATAGTAAACTCCAAAGCAAAATCCCAATACCGATTAAAAAACGTAGTCTCCTCCATCGGTTCGTCCAAAGGAAAAAATCACCAAAGGGTCCTGGACCGCCAGCCCAAGAGTTAAACCTTGGACATAGACGACTAGCTCCGGATTGTGTCCAATAAATTTGTCCTTGATGTCTCAGTCGAGCGCTGCTCGAATGCGTTGCTCGACCAATTTCCAATCCCCATCACAGATCTGTAGAAGTTTGTTGGCAGCCGCCTCCCAGGATTCAGTTGCCGGAGGATCTACGAAATTTTCAGAATACCCTTTGCACCAAGGCCATTGGAAATTGGGCTTGTTCTCCCATGCCGAGAACAGCTTGTTTCCAAAGACCACTTCTTTTTTATTGTTGTGTTGACCACGAGCACTGTGGATTGTGCATAGATAGGCAAGGGTTTGCAGGTCCCACTGAGACAAATCGATGTTCTGAACGATGCAATCGTACTGCAGTGGATTCTTGACCTCCTCCATCTCGGTGTCGCTGTTGTTGTTGATGATGGGAGGGTCAAAATTGTCGGATTCCTATTTCGATCGAATTTCGGCGGTTTTGACTCGGCTTTTTTGCAAAAAACTGATGCGACCCTGGGCAAGAGCAGTAGAATGAACAGGTTTAGCAGCGATTGCCACTTTCTTGTTGTTCTTCAACTTTCCCATTGTCAGTTTTGATGCAAAAAAAAAGCGAGTTTCGTTTTGCTACAGAAAAATCGTGTAGGCGAAGTACCGAAGTGATGTTTGTAGGACCCGGATATGCATGTTGCTTTTGTATTTTTGTTTTTTCGGAATATATCTCATCAGGGACCCACCCATAGTAGTCTGTGGAGAGGTCGGCAGAGGTTTGCCAGGCGTTGAGGATTGAGGGGCCGGGTCAGAGGAAGGCAAGGTTGGGAGATCTGTACCAGTGAGGAGCACCATGTTGCTACCGGAGAGGGGCCTCACTGTGGCACGCAGGACGTCAGAAGGCAAAGGGAAAGTCCACCAAGAACTTGGTCATTGTAGGCCGTCCGATAGCGCCAAGGAGTTGTAGAGGAACCTACAAGGGCGAGATGGGTCCATGCAGCCCCCTCCCAATGAAACAAACCAACAGTCGGCGACCAGAGCCAGTTCCAAGACTCGAAGTGGTTGTGCCAATGTCCCAGGGGTTGGAGCAGAGGGTGGTGCTGACCGTGTGAAGGCAAGCGCGCGCGGGACAGTGTTCTTTGCCAGAGTTCCCAATATGGACGCCCGGGTCGTACCGTTCGAGGCCAGTTATATGGAGTCCGATAAGTGTTGTCGCGGAAGCTGCGTGCCGGCCCCCTTTTGGACCCAACCACTCCCAGCTGACTTGTCCCGAGCCACCGTCCACATTACACCTTTGCTAGGTTCTCTAGCCCTCACTGGCATTGGGACAGCACCGCTGCAGCCGCATCACGACTCTCAACCGTCCCTGCTGGTCGCCTGGACGGCCGCCTCAGCCAAGGTGACCGTGTATGTTGGCTGGACCCCCAAAGAAATAGAGATTGATGGTGACAAAAGCCTCCTCGCTGAAGCCCTACTCGACGACCGGCTGTGTGTGATCAGCGACGGTTCTTATAAGCTCGGTCTGGGCACGGCAGCGGTTCAACTGCTTCCACGTAGGGGTGGCAAGGAACGTATTATCGTCCGTTGCCAGACTCCGGGTCTCCCTGATGACCAGAGCGCGTACCGGAGTGAATTGATTGGCCTACTGGCCGGTATCATGGTTGTTGATTGGCTCCTGGACCAGTGGGCCCCGAGACTTTGATCACCACATCGCGTCAGGATTGTGTGCAATGGATTTTTGGCGCTGCTCAACACCTTTAGTGACAATCGAGTCACACCGCAGCAAGCCCAGTTTGACCTGGTCTCCTCTATCCGGGAGGCACTTGCCCGCTCTAGGGCCTCGTGGGAACCTAGCCACGTGTACGGTCACATTGATAAGGCGAAATCCTTTTTGTGTCTCTCTTGGTGGTCCAAACGGAATGTGGAAGTGGATGCGTGGGCGGTCGCTTATCGCCACCAGCTCAAAGCTTCACACTGACTGATTGCACCCAACGCTCGTTTCTTTACCGAATTGGCTGCCCTTTACATTGGGGACGTCAAACAGTCGCGATTGAATCCAGAACAGGTACAGGCGCTGTCTGCTCTACGCAAGCGATGGCACAAGCGGCAGACGATTACACCAGAGGCACACCTGGAGACCGATTGGACCAGTCTGGCTCGCGCCATGAGCTCCCTTCCGGCAGGTGTCCAACGTTGGACCACAAAGCATGTCGTGGGTATGTGTGGTGTAGGGAAATTCAAAGTCCGTTGGGGTTGAGCTGAGTGTCCTTGTTGCGGCGAGTTCGAGGACCACCTTCATGTTCCTCAATGTATAGCACCCTCGGCGAGTGCAGAATGGAAGCGCCGGATGGCGACGTTGGACCAATGGTTGCACACCCAAGTCACTGACCCAGCCATCAAACACGCTATCCTCTACCTCCTTCAAGGGGTCTGTGATCCTTCCCTACCTCGCAGTCGGTTGGTTTGGGTTTGTCTTTGCCGCACTTTCCTCTCCCAACAACGCATCGGCTACCAAGGTCTATTGGAAGGCAGGCTGTCTGTTCAGTGGGCGGCCCTGCAGGCACAGTACCTTCCGTCACGAGGGAGCCAACGCTCTCCGACCCTGTGGGTCTCTCGCCTGTTGCATCAATTGATCCTGCTTGGATTTCATATGTGGGAACACCGGAACTCGGTGCAACATTTGGAGGACAACGTACAGCTATGCGAATGTAGCCGATTGGTGAACAACGGTATACACTCCAAGTTTGATATGGGCCCAACTGACCTCCCCCAGGTAGTTCAACGCATGCTTGCCGTGAAACGCCGAACAGTGTTGAACAAGCCGTTGGTCGATAGGGAAGAGTGGCTGAAGCTGGTCAGAATGGAATGCATGGCCTATCGCCGCGCTCTTCCACCCAGCCCAGCCCCCCTAACCCTGTTTCGAGGAATCAACGCCCTGAAATCACCCCGCCCCGTCGCGGGTAGAGTTGGGATCCCCCTGATCCTGACTAGAGCAACTTCTGTCCACCAGATGTCTCCATGGTTCAAACTAGTTATTGACTCGTCGCTTTACGGTATTTGACCTTTACAGCCGCTTATTCCACCGGCAATCGTATGCGCTAGATAGCATTTAATCGATTAATGTTTCAGTTATTATTAAGAAACCGTCCCAGATGCATTGCCGGATATAGCGGCCATCAGCCATAGTGACATCTGACACTGTGAATACTTGCAGGAACATCCGGCACCAGTTAAGCCAGAGAAGGTTGTCCTGATCAACCTCAAGATCCATAAACAAGTCAATCAGGAGGGCGTCATGATGACACCTTAAAGATAGGGCCGGAGAGTCAAAGGTCATGTACACATCCAGTGATTCAAGTTCCTTCCATACCCATTTAAGCCAGGTATCAGAAGCAAGAATGGATGTATTCTGATAATCTTGCTGTAGAAGACCAAAGGAGGTACCGGTTTCCAGTTGGTGAGCCTGGAGATTGGCGTCCATGTAGGCTCCAGTCTTTGTATTCCCCAACATATGTTAGAAGTAAGCGATCCACTGCCGCCTGCAATCTACCTGTTCAATTGACTGCGATTTAGCTGTCCAGGTATTGTTGCCTTCTAAGATGTGAATTTACAGTATATAGAAGTATATAGATCAATCAAAGATCCTACTTTATCAACCAATTCACTCGTTGCTTGCAATATATTATAAAAAGTGAGAATAGTCTGTCAACTTTTGACTTTGACTCTTTCCTCTCCAGCTCAGTGGAAATTCTCAGAATTCTCTCTACGTCAGCCTGATATGCTGCAAGTTCAATCTGTTTATCCGTTCACCTTCCACTGTAGTCGGTACTTTGATTAGTATCCAACTTTGGCTCTTGCTTGAATCTTGCTTTCTTACATCATCAACAGGATGATTTCCATAGAAATATAATCCGTTTTCTGACTCGCCACGCTCGATGTTTTTAGTCGCATCAGTCTTCATTTTTAGTCGTATCAGTCGACATCATTTCTCTATCGTTCACATGCCTTCTCTTTTTCTCGTTTCTCCAAATATCTACTTTGAAAATCCTAATATATCCAACAACATATGGCGCACAATCATTTCCAAGTGTTTGTGCACTTGCTTGCAAAAGGGTTGAGGAACACCAAGGCCTTGATAATCCACCAAGGCAAAGACCACCAAACGGGGAAAGTTGCGGCAAACACCTGACACCTGGAGAACCGGTGACATAACGTCCTGCCATTGTTGAGCGTTGAGGGTAGTGAGTGCCATAGGATACTCAAGCTTCTTCATGATCGTGGTCCGGCTCAGTGGTAACACATCGTACTTGTGCAGCAGGTGAGGCCAAAGCTGTTCTGCGCACTCTTGAGCTTTAGAGACCAACTGTGCCTCCTGTGCTTTATGATTTTCCACTGGCGACAAAATCACCCCCAGAGTACGTTTGGAATCATCTGGTTCAAGGCGACAAAGGGTTCAATGTCCCCCTACAACCCCGGTATCTTAACCCTTTTGCGAAAAGTGCCTTTTTGGCACTTTGAACCACGGTACATTGTACATACGAGGACCAATATTTTTTGAAAATATGCACCCTTCGAAAAGCCAAAAAGGCACTTCGAATGGGTTTTGGCCATTTGACTGGCCGGCTCGTTATTTTCATTAAAAGTGCCTAAAAGGCACTTGTAAAAAATCACCCAATGTACACACGAAATTTATATGGTATTCATGATATATATATATATAGTTCTTTTTTATTTAGCTCCAAGGCTTCTCACCAACCAAAGGTGCGCCATAACCCACCCCAAAAACTAATTTTTGGTTGATCCGCATGCACTGTTACGTATCCCGGCACAGCACTATTACAGTAGTCAACAAGCCATCCAATTGCACACCTAATCTTTTGTCAATTATTCATGATGATCATTGTTGTCCGAAATCCAAATAGCCCAAACTTCTCTGCGCTGTCCCTATAGAGTGGCCTCTAAGCCATAGGTTTCTTCAACCTCCAAAACAGAACTGAAAGGCACAAACACCGCACAAGGCCTTGACGAGAAAGAATGGGAACATCGTCAAGTCCGACGATACAAGAACAGTGGAAAGATTGCTCTGTTCATGGAACTGGAATAACCATTGGTTGGCAGAAGTGTTTCTTTTTGCGGATTCATTTCAGTTCAATATCCGCAGTCACCAGTCAACGCCTTGCATCCAACTGAAGTCCAAAGGTTGAATGATGCTCTATTGACATTGACTCATTTCTGATATAGGTGATACTACCTGGCATTCAACACTGGCATTCGTCATTCTACAA